GTAATAACCTGGATCACAAAGGACTATGTAGTAACTAAAATCTCAAAGATCTATGTAATAACCTGGATCACAAAGGACTATGTAGTAACTAAAATCTCAAAGATCTATGTAATAACCTGGATCACAAAGGACTATGCAGTAACGTGTAACATAAGTGTCTATGCAGTAACGTGTAACATAAGTGTCTATGCAGTAACTTGGAACGTCAAGGTTTATGTTGTAACATCGAACAAGAACGTCCATGTAATAAGCTAGAAACCAAATTTTATTTTATACATTATTAAGACAAATTCACAAAAACAATTTTAACCTAAAACTCACACAAAGAATTTCTTTGAAAGATAAATACAGAAGACTGTTCCGCTCGGTTTTTGTAAGAATTATAATTACTATGACCAATAGGACTTGGACTTTGTGTAAATGTTTAGATCCTTTTGTAGTAACAAAAGAACACAATATCATGTGTAGATGCTAGAAGAAAACCACTGTAACTGGCACAAACAGTCAGAAGTATTGATATTGGATGTAGATGCTAGAAGAAAACCACTGTAACTGGCACAAACAGTCAGAAGTATTGATATTGGATGTAGATGCTAGAAGAAAACCACTGTAACTGGCACAAACAGTCAGAAGTATTGATATTGGAGAAATTAGTTTCGATACAGTCGTGAGTCCTCTTCATTCTCACGTCGTCTTCTGGCAAGAAAACTGGTCAACAACGCTTACGAGACTCCAGAAATTCAATTTCCCTTTAGGGTACAGGGGTCAGGAAGTTGCTTAGTTTAACGTGGTCTTGAAATTAGGCGGGCTTTTGATTAAGAAGTTTTATACGATTCTTCTTTTTTAAGTACTTATCTGTTTTGTATCAAATTATTGATTTCCAAGATTGGCATTGTTTGTGTTTCCACGTTTCAATATCATTTTATGTTCAGAAATTCGTGTCAACCTACACATCCTTCTCACAGGATTGGTATGGTATGATATAAAAACCTTATTTGAAGTTGGTTTAATTTTAATGGTGTTCGGATGTTTGTATATGATTCTAAAGTTATTCTTCCTGAATATTTGTGTTAAAGCCAATATAAAGTGTATTCATATTATCGTTAGGTCGTTCTTTGTCTTCATAGAACTTTTATTTTGTGTGTGCTTTAAGACAGCAGTTTGCAATTAAAGATTGAGGAAAATGGAGTTGTTTAAAAATAGAAAATATTAGCAGCATGAAAAGAGATGACTATAACAAAAAGAATATGTCGGATTACGGTATACAGAGTGAACGTGTTTTATGGTTGTCAGAGGAGGAAAGTTATTCGTGTTTTTCTCACACAACTTTAAATTTTATATTTCGGCGAAGGTGATCAAAATTATTGGAAACGTTTTATTTCGCTTCTTTGGTTTGGCCTCACAGAAAAGATATCATCAGCATTATATCGGAACCACGGAATTTCTGAGGGGGGGTTTATATTTATAGAAGAAAGTAATTTAGTTTTTATATCGGAACCACGGAATTTCTGAGGGGGTTTTATATTTATAGAAGAAAGTAATTTAGTTTTTATATCGGAACCACGGAATTTCTGAGGGGGTTTTATATTTATAGAAGAAAGTAATTTAGTTTGAAAACAATCAATAAAAATATTGTACAATATTGGTGAAAGTGGATTTCCTAAGGTCATTCCTTGTTTTTGTCTAAAATACTGACCAAGATAGATAAATACCTACATGTCAATAAGAGAAATACAAGTGTCGAGGGGAACGGACAAGGATATTGCTCTGTACTCTCATTAACTGACACGTTGGTAAACAAAGCATCAACATCGAAACTTCACAAGTTTCCTTTAAATAGGTCGGTGTTCTTAATTTTGTTCGCAAAGTCAACATTGTTTTGGACATGCGAGGTTAATACTTTCCTACCAACTGAACAGATGTTCATCTAACCATTCACATATTGCGAATGTGACAAACCCGATCTACTTTTTGTTTGTTAATCAAACCGTACATAACAGGTAAGGAAGAATTTAAACATCTTTAAAAGATCTGAGAATCCAGCAATAACTGTAGGTAGAAATATGTTAAAGTCAGACACGTTCTTTGGTAAACGATTAGGTCTTAATTTTTCATAAACATACCCATCTATAAAAAGTTCTATAATTTTCTCTCATAAGCAGTTTTTTTTTCTAACATAACAATTTGGTTCCGTTTGTTTGACTTTGTAATTACAACATATTTGTTCAATTTTAATGTCTTTATTGCTTCAGAAAGACAGTGAAGGAAGGAGGGATTGTCACTTTTATTATTACTGTAGAATGTCATGCAATTAGTTAGAAGATTTATATCTTTACGACTGTCCTTGGATTACTTAACGATGCCCGAAGTCACTATTCAAGTCTGCATTCTTAAAGAAAAATAACACACCATAACCAAAGGGTATTCGTTCTGAATCGAAGAGGAGATAAAATGACAATTGAATTTGTTTGATGCTACAATATGGACGATTGAGTTTGTTTGATGCTACAATATGGACGATTGAGTTTGTTTGATACTACAATATGGACGACTGAATTTGTTTGATGCTACAATATGGACGATTGAGTTTGTTTGATGCTACAATATGGACGATTGAGTTTGTTTGATGCTACAATATGGACGATTGAGTTTGTTTGATACTACAATATGGACGATTGAGTTTGTTTGATGCTACAATATGGACGATTGAGTTTGCTTCATACTATAATATAGATCTTGGGTTTGTTTGATGCTACAATATGGATGCTGGAGTTTGTTTGATACTACAGTATGGATACTTGAGTTTTTTTATACTACAGTAAAATGGTTGTGTTTGTTTGATACTACAGTAAGGATATTTGAGTTTGTTTGATACTACAGTGTGGATGCTTGAGTTTGTTTGATACTACAGTATGGATGCTTGAGTTTGTTTGATACTACAGTGTGGATGCTTGAGTTTGTTTAATACTACAGTGTGGATGCTTAAGTTTTTTTGATACTACAGTGTGGATGCTTGAGTTTGTTTAATACTACAGTGTGGATGCTTGAGTTTGTTTGATACTACAGTGTGGATGCTTAAGTTTTTTTTGATACTACAGTGTGGATGCTTAAGTTTGTTTGATACTACAGTGTGGATGTTTGAGTTTGTTTGATACTACAGTGTGGATGCTTAAGTTTGTTTGATACTACAGTGTGGATGCTTGAGTTTGTTTGCTTCTATAGTATGGATGCTTGAGTTTGTTTGATTCAATAGTATGGATACTTGAGTTTGTGTGATTCTAAAGTATGGATGCTTGAGTTTTAATACTACAGGAAAATGGTTGAGTTTGTTTGATACTACAGTAAAATGGTTAAGTTTGTTTGATACTACAGTATGGATGCTTGAGTTTGTTTGATTCTATAGTATGGATGCTTGAGTTTTTATACTACAGTATGGATGCTTGAGTTTGTTTGATTCTATAGTATGAATGCTTGAGTTTTATACTACAGGAAAATGGTTGAGTTTGTT